GTTTCCACGGTACACCTTTCTTGTTCCATCATAGGGAATTACCACAATTGTTCACTTATTCACACCCAGACATAAATTTCTTTATTTTGAATTGGATCTTGCAATTTAGTTAAATTCAATTGCGTTTGGGATTACTTTTGTGGATGTCTTAAAGTGTTCTATAAACAGTTGTCTGGAAATAAAGATAATGCTACTTCCTCCTTTGTCATCCATATTGTTTCTCTTAATTGACATTTTACACTGTGGATGAGTGATTAAGAAACTACACTTTAAAAAAAGAAAAAGCTACACTTTAACTCAAAGGCAGGTGGTTCAAATCTATCAGCTGCTCTCTGCAAGAAAAATAGGTACTCTCTTCCCGTGTAATTTTCAGCCTCTGAAAATTTACTGAGAGGTCAGCTATGGGTCTGTTCCTATTAGAGAGACAGAAAGAAACACCTCTGATTGTAAGCTGTAAAAGTAAATATCCTTGCCTTGTTTCTGTCTTAGGGAATATCATTCTGTTTTCAGCATTATTATCTGCAAGTTTTACAAGATGCTCTTTATTAAGTTGAATAAAGTCCTTTCTATTCCTAGTTTGAAAAGAGTTTTTATAAGGAATATCCAATTTTACAAAATATTTTCTCTTTACTGAGATTATCAGGATAGACCAGCATCTAGGGCTCTTGTACATAGGGTCACTATGAGTCGCAAATGACTCGATGGCACCTAACAACAAAAACTGAGATTATCATGTAAATATCTACTAGTCCGTTCTTTTTAAGAATTATACTCATTTTTAAAACAACCTTCAACCCTGATCATAAACCCCATTTTGTCATGATATACTATCCTTTTGATATATTGTTAGATTTGATTTGCTAAAATGTAAAAGTTTTTGTAGCAACGTTCATGAGAGTTTTAACTTTTTTTAAATGTCTTCATCTAGTTTAAGCATCAGGGTAATGCTGATCTCACAAAACGTTAGAATATATTATCTTTTCTTCTATTTTTTAAAAGAGCGTGTTAAGAGTTGATATTAATTCTTCTGTATGTGCATGACAAAATTTACCAGTCATCCAGAATCTTGAGTTTGCTCATGGAATATTTTTAACTACAAACCAATTTTTTTTAACAAACCAATTCTTATACTATAGAGTATTCTTGTCATTTTTTTCATCTCAGTAAGCTTTGGTGGTTTGAATTTTATTTCATCTAAATTGTAGCATTTACTAGAAAAAAAAAAAGAATCCCTAACATCCTTTCAACGTCTGTAAGATCTGTAATGATGTGCTTTGTCTCCTTTTTTTAATCATCTGACTTGAAATTTATAATATTTTTTTCTTTTTCAAAGAACCAGTTTTCCATTTCACTGATTTTCTGGGTTGAATTTTTTTTTTCTATTTCATTAACCTCTGCTGATTTTATAATTTCCTTCTTTCTGCCGACCATGAGTTCAGTTTTTTTTCCCCCTAGATTAAAGTGAACGCCTAGGTCTTTGAGTTGTAATCTTCTTACAACTTATGCATTTAATGCTATTAACATTTGAAAATGTAAGCTGTACAACGTCCCTGGATTTTCTAGATTGAGATAAAATACACAGTAAAACAATACTTGAATATCTACTCCATTTCCTGCATTCTGCTTGGAACTCAAAACACAACAGAATAAAACAGACCTAACCCTCTTCTCAATATGTCTCCTGATTATTGCGTATTGGACATAGTGTACTGGGAAAGTCTGCAGTTAAGGACCTCTGCAAATTATTGAAGAATAATGATGTCAGTTTGAGGGCCACAGTGCATCATTCAGGCCATGGTCTTTCTGATCACTTGCTATGCATCTGAGAGCTGGACAATGAAAAAGGATGACAGAAGAATCAATGTCTTTGAGCTGTAGTGTTAGAGAAGAGCACTGAATATCCCATGAACTGACAAAGGAACAAACAATTATGTCTTGGAGAGGGTGTAGCCAGAGTGCTCTTTGGAGGCAAAGATGATGAGGCTTGACCTCACACACTTCGGGCATGTTGTTGCGAGGAGGGTCTATTCCTTGGAAAGGGACATGACGCGCGGAAAAGTAGAGGGTCAGCAAAGGAGAGGAAGATCCTTGACCCAGTTGACACGGTGACTGCTGCAAGGGGCTCTAATGTGTCAGGAAGTGTGAGGATGGCACAAGAGAGGGCAGGATTCAGATCTGTTGTTCACAGGGTCACTGTGAGTCATACTCCACTCAACGGCACCCAACAACAACCCTCTTCGTTCATCATGTTTAGCAGGGAGTAACAACAAAATTGGTACTAAAAATCAATCCTCCAATGCTAATCCTTGCCTTCTTGATATTTAAAAAGAATATTAAGCCAGAAACATAATCACTTCTTTTACTCTAATGACAAAGGCATCCTCTGGTTCTGTCCTCTTACAACCTAGCAAATAAAATGGAGTCACTAGGTTTTCAAAGATTGACAAATTATATAGTTCAAAGGAACACACAGTTGCAACTGGCAAGAATATTGTCAGGTATATTCTATTACTCCACATCTGCCTAAATAAATGTACATTTCGATGAAATCTTTGATACATTTCTACATATTCCAAGGTAGTATGACTAAGATATATTTGGCATGTATTCAAAACCAAAACCACTGTGATGTTTGTTTCCAACTCATGGCCTTCTCTCAGGACCTTGCAGGTGATGGGTTCAAACACGATCAGGGCTCCTATATTTGGTATACAGATTTTACATATTTCTGTAAATCTAAAATTCAAAGCAACATTAAAATGCATATTTCCAGTTCCGTCTCATATAATCTGGGCATGTTTCCAGGAGGAACATGGAAGACATCATGCTTGGAAAGGCAGAGCGATAGTGCAGGAAAAAGACGACCCTGGATGAAATGGATGGATTGACACAGAAACTGGGATAATCAGGGTAGGAGAGTTGGAGACAGTGAGGTTGGTTCCGGACAGGGCAGGCTTCAGAGCTGCTGTATATAGTGTCGCTATGAGTAGCAGCTAACTCCACATCTCATAACAATAACAAACTTCAAAAACACCATTAGATCCATAAATGGGGTAATTTTTTTTAAAGTGCCCATATTTCCAAAGTCCACTGATTACATTCTTAAAAAGGGGGGGAAAATAAAGTCTCTCAGCCTCAAAGTTTAAAAATATCCAGAACTTTCAAAAGACTGTCTCCTAACTAAATAGACAAACAAATCAATGGCTTCAAGGTAGCCTAGCAAACACTCATGCTTTTCACAATATTATCTATAATTCATAAATTCAGATAACTGTAATTAGATTAACTGATGTAAATCCTTTGTTCGTCCAAAGAGCCAATAAGTAGCTCTGCACCCTTCTACCAGCCAGGTAGCCTGGATCTTCCTACATTTAGGCATCTTTCAATCCTGCTCTCCTGCTCTTTAAGACCCAAACTGCCAACCTGGGCTGCCCAATGGAATTATCTGGAGATGCAACTAATACTGATGCTGGGATCCCAACAGCCAGAAAGTACATCCCAGAGTCTTTATACAAGTGGGATTTTAAAAACCTTTACAGATGATTCAAGTGTGCAGACCAAGAGTGAAAAAAAAGAAACAAAAACCACCAATGTCAGCTGTCTGGGAAGGCAGGTTTCTCAGGGCCACAGGGCCACCTGCACCAAGCTTCAGAAGCCACTTCCTCACCCGTGTAGTCCAGTCTGTCTCCAGATCAGACATGAATTCAGTAATTCCACTGTGATTCCTCCTTAGACTCACAGGATAAAATGTACTTCTCTAACTGTATATTTAGACATTCGTTTCCAGTCCACTTCTAAACTTCACAGAGCAAATTAGGCTAAAGGGAAATTTGCTTCATATCATTTGATAATTATGGTTAGATATTATTTCTTTTTTGCTTCTGTTTTTTAAAAGGGTATCTCCATAAGCTGTATATCATTTTAGAGCATTTATGGTAAAAGAAGTATTCCTCTAAAGCATAAAATAATTAAATGAATCTTCATCATTTTAAATATTGACTTAAGCTGTGTTGAAAACTGGCTCCAGACCTTGTACAGGCCTGGGAGTCTACAAACAGCTTACTCCATTTTACCGAAGTAGACCACTAATTACAATTATCATTTCATCATCTCAAAGGGGAAATGATAACACCTACGTCATAAAGAAGGCATGAAACCAAGGCTGCTTGGCATTGTGCGGAGGACTCTAGAAATTTTACTCAATTTACAGCAGAAATCTTGCCTCTTGGAAACTAGGCATAAAAGCACAGACAAGTGGCAAATTGTGCGTAACTACAGGTCAAACAACTCAAAGGAACAGCAACAGGAGGTTGGGGTGGGGGGTCAGTCCACAAACCACTGTCTCTTCTGAGAACCAACAGCAGCAGAAGCCATACAGGCGGACTTAACATCTCTCAAACCACAGGCAAACTGAAGTTAGTTGCAAACATATGCAAACTTGGTCTGCTAACGTGCAGACCCAGGCACTCTGATCCATGCAAGTGTAATCTGTGTACCTTTGGGATATAATAGATGTGCATGCCGAAACACGTGTGCAGGTCTGCGCGGCTGAACTACCATGTATTCATAAACACTGTGAATAATACTCGCGAGAATGTACGGCTTTCCCCGAAGAAGCGCTTGAAGCACTTGACTCAAATCGAGTTACTTTGTATCACACCTTCCTCGCCTTTTCCTGTGTAATACACGCACACGCTGAGAGTGGGGTCCTCATCCAAAACCTGATGGTGAGTGACAGCCCCTGGCCCAGTTCCTGTTAGCTTGAGCTAACCAAGAAGGGGTTCCCGTCCAGGCCGGGTTCCTGGTGACATACCTGCACCCTCACACGCCCACTAAGGCCGCGTCAGAGATGCCGCGGTCACCTGGACAAGGACCAAAGTATGGAGGGAATTCCCTCCACGGTCTTGAAGTGCCAGGGGAAAAGTGGTACCTGGGGGCGCTTTGAGGAGTAGGGAGAGAGAGGGGACGAGTGGACAGAGGACGAGGTCGCCGCTACTCACCCAGCCCTCGAAGGTGTCCGAGGTGCCGGCTGTGCGCAGCAGCTCCTGGAACTGCAGGGTGCAATTGGCCACGAAGTGGTCATAGCCCAGGGGGGTCTCGTGGAAGACGGCGAGCTCCAGGTGGCCGCCGTCGGTAACATTGGCGCAGAACTCCTCGTTGTAGGTGGGCTTGTTGGTCTTCTGCTTGGTGCTGGTTTGGCCCACGCGCACCTGGTCCACGCTCACTGTCAGGTAGGGGTCCAGCAGCTGGTGGCCCTTCTTGAAAAGCGAATGGCGCAAGGACCAGCGGGTGGGCTGCAGCCCCACGGCCTCGCCGATGCGGACCCTCAAGTAGCCATTGAACTTCATGGTGCCTGACGACATGCCGGCGCCGCTGCCCCGGCCCCGGGGGGTCGCGCTGGCCGTCGGCGGGAGGCTGGGGAGCCCGGCTTCAAGCCAGCCCTCGCGGCTGTCGGAGGAGGGGAGGCAGCTCTGGGAAGAAGCAGAGCCCAAGCCCCCCACGACGGGCCATTGTGCCGCCTCCGTGGGACCCTCCTTCCTTTCCTCCCTCCCTCCCTCGCTCTGGAGGTGGGAAGGAGGGGCGCCCGGCGCCGAGCCTTCAGCGGGGGGCGGCAGCCCGGCCGTCCCTCCTGAGCGCGCGGTGCTTCCCGGGGGCTCGCGGGGGACGCGCCCCTTCTCCAGGGACCGGGAGCTCCTCACCGCGCAGAGCTGGAGCGACCTGTCGGCTTAGCTGCCGACCTCGAGCGTCTCTCACCCCGGCCTCCTCCTGCGTCTCCTCCTGCCCCCGCCTCCGCCGGCTCACGCTCTCCCCCCCTCGGCGAGCTTCAAACCAGGAAGCAGCTGCCGCCGCATCCCCAGCGGGAGCCTCCCTCGCCTGGCTGGGCTCTAAGTTCACAGAAACCCGGTGCGGGCTCCCGCGCCTTCCGGAGCTCGGGGGCGTGGCGGCCGGTGCCGGGGCGCACGCAGCCGGGTAGACCCGTGTCGGCCGTCTGCACTGCCCCACGCGCGCTCCCTGCTGCGTGGGGTCTCAGGGTGCTGCCGGTGCGCCCATCCCAGATGCAGGCCAAAAGGTAGAAGAGCTTGGTGGCCAGCCCCAGCCAACACCTGAGGCTTGGAAGACAGGCTCCGGGAGGGCGGGAAGGCGCGGAGGAGGAGCTGGGAACACGCGCAGGGAGGAGTCGCCGGCGCCTCCCTCCCACTCTCGGCGGTGGGTTGGTGACCCGGCCGGCCCCTGCAGGAGAGGCCCTCGTGGGAGGAGTGCGCACGGCGGGGAGGTTCCTTTTCCTAATCTTTACGGTGCTGATGGCTCATCCCGAGTTCAGCTCGGGCGCATCCTGTTTGTGCGCTTTTCCTGTTGTTGTTAGGTGCCTGTCCAGTCCGTTCAGGCACAATAGGATGAACCACTGCCGGGTCTTGCGCCATCCTCACATTCTTTGAGCTCATTGTTGCAGACACTGTCAATCCGTCTCCTTAAAGGTATTCTTCTGTCCCCTATCTTTCTTCTGGATTGACTGCCTCTCAGAACCCACGGGAGGTTCAGCTATGAGTCAGTTCCGACTGCCCCCCTCGGATCAAATATGATCTCTCAAGTATGACCTGGTCTCTCCTGATGGCATGATCTATGTGAGAGAAATCTCACCAGTCTAACTTCTGCAGAGGATAATTACACCATTTGGGATGTTTTGTTGGATTTTTGTTGTTTAAGCTTTTTGGTGGGAAGTTGCTTGTTTTTAATAGGACAATAGTAATACTAAGAAACTTGGTGGCATAGATAGTCCTTTAGCAATGGTGCTGCTAACCCAAAGGCATGAGTCACTACAAGTTGAAATCCACATGTGGTTAGGTGAACTGTCCCTCCGCTGTGATTTAGAGCCTCGGAACCCATGGAAGGTCGCTAAGCGTTGCAATTGAGTTGATGGCAGTGAGTTTAAGATGGAAATCCTGTCTGCCTCTGTCCTTGGAGAGGCGTGTCTTGTTTCATAAAAAGCAGGAACGGTCGGTTTTTCTGAAAACAGAGTGACTGAAACCTTAGCACTCCGGCCATGAAAAAAATATTCCTTCTGTAGGGGAAGCCATGATGCTTCCTTCCCAGGAAGGACTTTGCAGTTACTCTCCTCTGGACCTGCCTCCATCAATCCCTACACTGCACAGCTTGCTTCCTAAACACAGTGACACCAAATCGTCTGTTTGTAAGATATTTCATGGCAGCCTGTGTTACCATTCTGATTCCCTTGGATCAGGTCTTTCTAGCCGTCTCCACACAGTGCTCTGTTGGTGGCTCTCAAACGGAGAAGATTCTCAGTGAATACAGTGAATAAATGTCTCAGCACAGTGTGAAAACCCACAGAATGGAAATAAAATTGAAAGCATTGGGTCCAGTGGCTGAAGAACTCTCTTAAAAGCAGCCACGCTTCCTTAGAGATCAGGGCCGGGATACACCACTTCACCCTAATGACAGCTTTGCTTTGCACAGAGCTTGTAAAGCAAGCTCCCAAACCTCCAGGGAGCTGCTGTCTGGCTGCAGTGCTCCAGGGGCAGAGAACAAGTTCACCCTTTGACCAGCTCTGCCACCCTTCCCAAGGAACTCAGATCTAGTTTTTAAGAACCATTGAAGGAGTTGATGCTTTTGGGCTCTGCACCTTAAGAAGTCCATTCACAAATGATGAATGAGCAACTGACAGCTGCCTGGTATGGTATGGGGATGTGAATGATAGCAAACACCCTATCTTTGTTCTACTGATTGGTGCTAACCACCAGGGAAGGTAAAAATGAAAGAGAACTGAACAAAACAACCCCAGTGTCTGCCCCTCTGGCACTCATAGTCCCATGGGGAAAACAATACAAAAGAAAATTGCACATGTTTAGGTGCAATGAAGAAAAGTCCAAGGACTGATGTTGTTGTTTTGTTGGTAGGTGCTGTCAAGTAAGGACTCAGATCAACCTTATGAACAACAGATCTGTATCCTGTCCTATCCTGTGCCATCCTCACCACCTCTGATAAACTTGCTGCAGTCACCATGCCAATTCATCTTGTTGGAGGTCTTCTCTCTTTTACTAACCCTTCACCCTTACAAGTATGATATCCCTTTCCAAGGAATAGCCTTCCTAGCAACATGTCCAAAGTATGAGAGACATACTTGCCTCCAAGGAGCACTTTAGCTGCACCTTTTCCAAAACATACCTATTTGATCATTTGGCAATCCATGTACTCTTCTCCAAAACCACAGGTCAAATGCATCAATTCTTCTGTCATAATTAGCTCCAGCTTTCAAGATGCATAGCAAGTAATGGAAAAGACCATGGCCTGATTCAGGCACACCTTAGTTTTCAAACTGACACCATGGCTTTTCAGGATTTTGGAGAGGTCACTGACAGCTGACTGCTGATAACCAGTGGTGTTGATTGTGGATCCAAGTAAGACAAAATGATTGACAATTTCAATCCTTTCTCCATCTATCATGATGTTTGTTTGTTTTCTTGATGTTGAGATGCAATCCATACTGAAGGCTGTAGTCTTTGATTCTGCAACAAGTGCTTCAGGTCCTCCTTGCTTTCAGCAAGCAAGGTTGTGCTATGGGATGATGTAAATTGAAGGCAACAAGAGAAGCATCCCCTTAAAAAGAAACAACAACAATAGAATCACCTAACTTGGGAATCCTGAAGAAAGGGATGTTGTTGTTGTTGTTGTTGTTGTTGTTGTTATGTGCTGTCGAGTCGCTTGCGACTCATAGTGACCCTATG